TGAGTCCTTGCAGTCACGAAAGCTTTAAATCGAAATGTGGGGAGTGGTTGACTTTTTTAAAGGGATCGCGAATAATCGACTGCAACGAAAGTAATCGACTAAAAGCCTTTTTTTATAATCAATCGACTGACTGTGGTTTTAAAGTGGCTAACAACCAGGAGGTTATGAGTTTGCGAGTTCAAATCCTGGTTGTGTATTTTGAGTCAGCCCATCATCACCCCCACCCCGCGGTTGATAAAATAAGTGCCACTTTGTTATTCCGGAGTCAACAGTGGTTGTCTTACGAAGAGACTTGCTCCCCATCGTAAGGATAAGGAATCTACTCTACGGGCTGAGGACTGTAAAAGGGAGATAAGCACCTCCTGCATATCTGTGAAAAAGAGCTTCATAGCTCATCGGATTCCTGCAATCACTGAATAAAGATTCGGATTTTTTTTAAATCTCGACGCCTATTTTGGCGGAGGAAATCGCTGGCATTTTCTTGACGAAAGGAGCTTTGGTCAGGAGCGTCAAGCGCCGTTCGTCCGTGTGAAGCTTTGCCTCTGCAATGCAGTTGCTTTGTGCTTCGTTTCATGAACAAGGCAAATGCGCCGACGGTCGTGGAGGGGGGTTTTACTCTTCTTTGGTTCTTTCGGTAAAGTCACGTAGAATGAGAATACAATAATAAATTGATAAAATAAAATAACACAATAATATTCTCACGACGTTTCGGCCACAACACAAGCGGCCTTCATCAGGTGAAGGGGCGAGACTGTCTGGTAGGACAGCGCTGGAGTGAGAGAGCCACGTTCAGATCACGGCTTTTAAGCTGTGTGAGAGGAACAAAGAGCCCTCAAATTTCAGCACCACGGATAGCTACGGGCCCCGTTCAGACGGACGAGTTCGTCCAATGCATAATAATGCATTGCATTCAAATCAGGCGACCATTCGTCAAATCCCTGCACTGGTAACTCTGAGGGGGGGGGGGGTCCCGAATTCCGGAGACAAAAACGGCACGCACAATTGACCGCGTTTGACACCTTCATGTACTCGCCCGTACAACAAACATACAATTAGCGCCTTCAGTGATGAAAACATGATTAATTGTCGAATATGTATCCCAAAAAGGTTAATGTTTTATTTCAAAACAAAACATTACACAACACACTTTAACGAACAGACTGACAGGGAGATATCCTGCAGAGACCTGGCATCTAAATCTCATTTACACTCTTACAAAAAGCCATTTTCACAATGCCTCCGTGTTCCCGTAAACGTGCCTACTGTGAAGTGGCATAAATGGCAGTGAACTATCTCGGTAGTGTGGGTGACGATTTATGGACAGTGTCATCTGGTTGCATTTCAAACAGTTATGTGTAATGGTCAGCAGAGGGCACAAACACGAATCAAATTGCTCTTGGAATAAGCTATCACATTGCATCATGCACCAGCCGCTAAGCAATAATCGATCAATTCAATTCCGACCTCTTTAGCTTGACGAGAGCCCGCTGAGATTCGTTTCGAATGGGGCTCATTAATTTTTAACACTCTAGCCGTGGGTAATTGTCATATTTTGGATATTGGCTTTGGCACTGGTGCACGGTCATCTGCAGCTGCGAAAGATGTAATGGAGTCTTTAATAATGGTTCAGTTTACATCAAAGTGGAAGTCTGCCACAGTAATGTGTGGTCGGCGCACTGGCCTTGCAATCTAGAGAGGTCACCAATTCTATTTGTATCTCCCGGCGTGGCAGTAAAGTGTGGAAAGTCTGCACTATAATTAATAACAAGAAAAGTGTTTTCATCGTTATTTTTGGAACAGATCGCGTAAAAAAATGTGTGGTAAACCCTCCTCCAACCGACACAGCCAATTAATAAAATCGTCACGTGAACATATATGCCAATTTATTACAGCTTTAGCAGATCAGTATGTTCGAGATAAATCTCACAAAATGTAACAATTTTGGTGAGAGTTAAAACCAGCATCATTGGGCAGTTGACAGAATTGCGAAAATGTCCTCCGGTCTTGAGCATGAATTAGGGGTGTAATGTCATTAAATATTTATTCACGCCATCTGACCCAAAAAAACATTATGAATCATAATATTTATCGCTAAAGCCTGTGACAAGTGTTTATTTCTGAACTTGCCTTTGAAAGATCTGTAGTTAGTATTGTCATGTATGGCACCAACTGGGAGGTTTAAACCACACTAACGTTCAATGCTTACAGTGAAGGAAAAAAGTATTTGATCCCCTGCTGATTTTGTACGTTTACCCAATGACAAAGAAATAATCAGTCTATAATTTTAATGGTAGCTTTATTTGAACAGTGAGAGACAGAATAACAACAACATCCAGAAAACGCATGTCAAAATGTTATAAATTGATTTGCATTTTAATAAGGGAAATAAGTATTTGACTCCCTCTCAATCAGAAAGATTTCTGGCTCCCAGGTGTCTTTTATACAGATAACGAGCTGAGATTAGGAGCACACTCTTAAAGGGAGTGCTCCTAATCTCAGCTTGTTACCTGTATAAAAGACACCTGTCCACAGAAGTAATCAATCAATCAGATTCCAAACTTTCCACCATGGCCAAGACCAAAGAGCTCTCCAAGGATGTCAGGAACAAGATTGTAGACCTACACAAGGCTGGAATGGGCTACAAGACCATTGCCAAGCAGCTTGGTGAGAAGATGACAACAGTTGGTGCGATTATTCGCAAATGGAAGAAACACAAAAGAACTGTCAATCTCCCTCGGCCTGGGGCTCCATGCAAGATCTCACCTCGTGGAGTTGCAATGATCATGAGAACGGTGAGGAATCAGCCCAGAATTACACGGGAGGAACTTGTCAATGATCTCAAGGCAGCTGGGACCATAGTCACCAAGAAAACAATTGGTAACATACTATGCCGTGAAGGACTGAAATCCTGCAGCGCCCGCAAGGTCCCCCTGCTCAAGAAAGCACATATACATGCCCGTATGAAGTTTGCCAATGAACATCTGAATAATTCAGAGGACAACTGGGTGAAAGTGTTGTGGTCAGATGAGACCAAAATGGAGCTCTTTGGCATCAACTCAACTCGCCGTGTTCAGAGGAGGAGGAATGCTGCCTATGACCCCAAGAACACCATCCGCCTCTCTCTGTGTCCCCTGAAGTGTCTGTGTTAATTCTGTACCTGATGACGATTGCTTGTGTTGCAATCGACACGTAGTATGCTATTATATAATTTTATTTTTTTATTATTTCTACGTGACTTTACCGAAAAAACCAAAGAGGAATTCCTGCAGTCACGAAAGCACCTAATTAAGTTTGATAATTTCTTTGTCAGTGGGCAAACGTGCAAACGTACAAACTCAGCAGGGGATCAAATTCTTTTTTCCCTCGCTGTAAGTGTGTATACCATAATAGTCGTAATTAAATTCAACAATTGCATGCAAATTCAACAATTACAACTTGCCACTGGTGTTAGCCTTTGCCGACAATCAATCTCAGGTCGCTGGCTTCATAACACAGTGTGCTAAGCACTCCGCCACCGTTCCTCTCCCTGAAGTATTCATTGAGAATTAACACGACCATAATACCTTGTTACCCTTGCGACTTTTAAACTTTTCATTACGCCTAATCTTTTTCAGTTTTTTTTGTTGGGATATAGCAGCGTATGTTGCAGTAGACGTTTTAAGCCACCACTTCCGTTAGCTGTAAGCATATACAACGACTCTCTAATTAAATCATCATTCTGCATAATTAATTAGTGTCTGTCTCGGGAATGTGTAAGTTACTCTTTGGTTCTATTCGGTAAAGTCACGTAGGTAAAAAATAAAACAACAAAAATCACGACGTTTCGGCCACAACACAAGTGGCCTTCATCAGGTGAAGGGATCGTGCTGTCATGAGGACAGCGTTGGAGTGAAGACAGCCAAGCCCAGGTCGCGTCCTATAAGCTGTGTGGGAGGAAACAAAACGCTTTGACAAAGGAATTAGCATAAAAATGAGCATGATGTACGTAGGAGGTACATGATGGACCAGGCGCGGGGGGGGGGGCCATGATGGACCAGGCGCGGGGGGGGGGGGGGGGAGTTTACATAATGTTGGTGTGGAGAGAATTAAGCAGCTGTGAAAGTTTGGGATACCACTACTTGAAAAAATATACTGTACCATTGAAAATTAGTTGAATGTTTGGTTTGATTTAGAACATCTTTCCAATGATTGCTTAATTTGAAACCATACTCTCGGTTGAATGTGTAAGTTACTATTGCAGTGCCTCGTATGACGTTAACTCCACGTTTAGGCAAAGCTCGACTATAACGTAGACCAAATTCAGTTCACTGACTTGAACAACATGAATGGATTGTTTCTGCTATGTCCGTAATGTCAGACTTTCACCTTACAATGAGGTTCTCGCTAATAGTTTGCTCTTAAAGGGACACGTTCATCGTGGTGTCTTCCAAAGCATGCGCCTTTATTTCACAAAGCATGCGCCTTTATTTCACAAAGCATGCGCCTTTAAGTGAGTATGTTGTTTGAGTCTCCCGGTGTTCATTTACTCCCCCATTTTTGTCTCATTAGTCTCCATCTAGTCGATCACAGCCGAAGTAATTTCAGTCAAGATTTAATCATTTACTCAAGACTTGGTCTAAAATGAACCATCGGGCGCAGTTTCAGCATGATTTATGCTAATTACTATATTAACAATGTGTCGAGTGTTAATAGTATTAAGTCAGTATATATATAAAAAAAAGTATTTTAGTATGGTCTTGTCTACGGCAGCCTGTGCAATTTTCGTTAAGTCTTAGTGTGTGGATTTTATTGAGTCTTTTTAAAAACACAACGCTGAATATCTTGTCCAGTTTCGATTTGAGATTATTGTCTTTCCTACTCGAATTGTCCTATGAAATGTGCAGACTAAATCTTGACGAATATTCCACGGGTTGTTGTCGACAAAGACTGATACTACGAACACTGAGACACTGTCTAAATGATTAACACTGCATGATGTGTCTCAATTGCTTCATCCCTAGGTTTGGGAAGCCAGTGTCCCGTTGGCTGTGTGACCGTGAGTCCCGCTCATTAAGTGAATTCACGCAAGCGCACAAAAATACAACCTCAACGATTGATGCCCCCGAGGATGTTTATTAATTTGTTTTAAAATGTGTGGCTTTTTAAATGACCCCCAGAATCTGAATGCAAAGTTTTGCGGGCGTTTTTTTTTTACAACCAAGAATGCGAAAGGGAAAAACAGCTATGAAGTTAATACAATCTGAAAGCATTCAAGTCTTGACCCAGATAAAAAAAATATAATGAATAATATTGGTTCTTTACTTAATTATACAACACTTACATAATAGGTGACCAACCTCAGAATCACAAATTGCGAATTGATGATGATTGTGGTCAAGGACTAGCCAAATAAGTTGGCACCAGCCGCTATGGGAGGCATCGTTATCCAAGCGTGTCATCTTCTGTAAAAAAAAGTAACATTAAAGACTTTGAGATGTAATTTTCAAGAGAGAAAAAATAAAAATAAAATTGCGTTTGTACTTGTGCGTAGACACAGCTCAAAAACAAAATCACTGCATTCATCATCCCTGCTGACTCATCATGGAAACTTTTAACGTCTCGAGTGTCGAATTAATATAGTAAGTAGATTGACATTTTACCCAATTGCCTTTTCAGATCGCAAGGAAGTATTGACCAACTTGTGAGTGAGAGATCGCGCGAGTGCTGAATATGGTGAGTGATTATGGTTGATCTATACGTATGTAGACACGTTTTTACCAATCTCGACACCCCTGTCGACCCAACAGCATCAATGGGTACACCACGGTTAGTCTATCGCCGGGTCACGTGCAGTCGGGAAAAGTTTGGTACCTTCCCAACCCGTCCAAGACGTCTGACCAGCGTGGAAGATTAGGCCAATTTTTCGATTTAAGGCTTTCGTGACTGCAGGGATTCATCTTCTGGGTTCTTTCGGTAAAGTAACGTAAAATGGAGATAAAATAATAATAAAAATAATAATAAGAGAATAAAATTCTCACGACGTTTCGGCCACAACACAAGTAGCCTTCCTCAGGTGAAGAAACAGGACTGTCCGGAAGACAGCTCTTGAGAATTTTATTCTGTTATTATTATTTTTATTATTTTATCTCCATTCTACGTGACTTTACCGAAAGAACCCAGAAGAAGAGATTAGGCCAAATACCTCACTACCAGAGGTGCTCATCCTAGTGGAGACCCTTCTGCCAGCAGTGGCATAAGTAAGAAATTGCAGGGTTGCACCTTTAACTTTACATTGAATTACATTTACGAAACGTTTATGCATCATTTAAGCACAATTTTTTTATTCATATGGGGGGGCGGGGGGGGGGGGGCGATGCATATATTAGGGTATAAGCAAACGATGGGATGCACGCTAATCTGGGAGTTTTTCAGCAGTTGGCAAATGTTTACTCTGTTCAAGCCAAACTTTCGTGAGCTGCCAAGAGATGGGAGGAGGATGTTGGCTTATTTTTTTTAGAATACGCCTTCCAGTGCTTTCATCTTACATTCCTAATTAAATGGAACCGTGTAAAAGGTTCCGTTGATGAATTGCTCTTTTATTTCCGCTGTGATCCGTGCGCGCTTGGTGAACAGTGAGCAAAGCAAAGTGCTGCGTGCCAGTTACTCTGGATGAGACGTGGAAGCGTCATATCACAATTCTTGAAACAAATATATAGATGTGAACATCGCTTGATCAAAACGTAAGCCTCATTTTGAGCAATACAAATGCTCATTTGTTCACTTTGTGTGTGCGCATGTGTGTGTTTTCGTAAAGCGCCAAATCTCCCGGTACGCTTTGAAGTTTCGCGATCAACCGCTTCGCCAGACGCATTCTCACTCATTGGAGCTGTTGTCAGGGCGCACCGTTAACAGGTAAAGGTGCAGCCCTGAAATTTCTCGCTGACACCACTGCTTGGCGGAAGGGCTGCCACTACGGGGGGAGCTACAGATTATCCCCTCTGTGGCTCCCAGGCTTTGTGGACCTGTGCATCATTGGTTGGTGGTGGTAGGCAAAGGCAGTTTTAATTAGACCACTGAAAACGTTTCCCGATGCGTTTTCAGGGTCTTACCGCGTGTTGGTCGGGCATGATGACCCACGTTTTGCCCCCACCTGCTGGGAGCTTCTTAATATAAACTAAATGGAACAGCTCACATTTTCTCGATTATAAAAGTTTCTGGCTACAGCGGACGTTTAATAAGTAAACACCAACAGCAGCAGCATCAGCTGACAGCTCTATATATTCAGTTTCTGAAGAAGCTCTCCAGCACGTGGAGCGAAACGTCGGACATCGTGTTGAATGACACGCGGTACGACCCGGAAACTCATTGGAAAGCTACACAGCACAACCGCGGAAGCCTACGCAGTCGCTGAAAAAGGAGCTTGCCATGCGCGTGGAATGATGTTCCTTTTAAAGTTTCGCTAAATTTTATATTTTTAATAAGGACGGACTTTCCCCCAGGCAATGACATGGATCTTACTGGCACCTAGGATTCCAGATGTGTTAATCAGCTGTGGGGTGGTTTGCTTCAGCAGGTCACACGGCTCTCCGTGCAGCGAATGCGGAAACGTGCGGTGATCCGCTCGCGTTTTGCTGCCGTCTCGTGCGGGATTAATGTAAGCGATGTTAAAATTTTAAACGGCTTTGAGATTTTAACAAGGGGGTTAACCTCTCGCTGTGCTCTGTTGCCCCACGATTTCAGAAGCGAGACCTTCAAACGCGGTTGACGGTGCGCAAATTCACCCGCGGAATCCAGCCTCGCGACCTGCGAGAGGTGCGCGCGAGCAACAGCAAAGCGACTCTCCTGAACGGGGCCCTGCGTTTAAAAGCGTGTGCCTTTTTTTTTATTTGAAGAGGCCTCCTGCGAAGGTGGCGCCTTGTTTCAACAAGCGGATTGCGTCGTGGCTGGTGAAATGTTTGAGCCACATTTTAAAAAGAAAATAAATAAATTATATCTAAAAGACTACATTTTTTATTATTTTATTTTACCAGGTATAGCCCATTGAGCCATGTAGCTCTTTTTCTGAAAACCACCTGGCCACAAATGATAGCTCAACGAAGTGGCTTGTCACGTGGAAATTTATAGCAGCCAAATACTCTAAATATCACAGCGGTCACCTTCTCCTTGTGGGCGTCGTTTCATTTTCAACTTTGACCTTCCACGAGCGTTTTAATTAGGCACTTGAACCTTTAAATAAATAAATAAGCACGCTTTCCAAAACGAGGCTCATTTCAGAGTTCATCTTTGGTGCTCCTCGACTTGTTTTTTGAAGTCGCACCCACCGCGTGTCGTTCAGCAGTGTCCGACGTTTCACCCCACGCGCTGAGACCCCGCACCGAACGTGGTATGACCCGAAGACGCATCGGAAAGCCGCGCAGCGGTGCAACCGCGTTACCTCTCATCCGTTTGATGGCACAGGTGCCAAACAAAAACTTGACAAGACTCTCCTAAAAATGTCTGAAAGCCTTTTCCTGGGTAAACAAGAATGTGGTGGGAAGAGATGGGGGTGTTTTATCTTCAATTTTTATATGTTCATGTTGATGTCAGTCAGTGAGCTTAGTGGCTTTAGGAGTAGCCAGCCAGGTGAATATATAAAATGCTACCAGCGGACGATCAAATTGGGCAGTGGCAGCAATATGTGGTCCATGGTTAGAGATGTAGAATCATGGCTAATGGAGGTCTGGTGCAGGCCTGCAAAGTGTCAAGAATGTATAATAATTGCATATTACGGGTATCTGAAATGTGGTGCTGATCTGGAGTATCAGGGTGGAGTGTCTCTATCTTAAATTCGAATATGCGATTTCCATACAGTACATACAAATGTATATAACAATGTTTCCTCACTCACAATATTTCTACGAATGCATCACGAACGTGAGAACACTATGTAACACAATTGTTGTTCCTGGGTAGTAAGTATTATTTCGTAATTTCTTATGCCTAAAAAGTAGAGAAAATGGCTATTATTCCCCACAAACGTTTTTTTGTGACCAGGACAGTAAAATCTTATTGGTTCTTTCGGTAAAGTCACGTAGAAGGGAAATAATAAAATAATAAACATAAAACATAATAAAATAATATAAAATTCTCACGACGTCTCGGCCACAACACAAGCAGCCGTCCTCAGGTGAAGAAACAGAACTGTCGGAAAGACAGCGCTCCAATGAACACTGCTAAGTTTGGCAGCGTCTTTTAAGCTGGGTGGGAGGAGCAGAGCGCCTTGACAAAGGAGTTTACATATCAACAGAAGAATTTAGCATTGATGTGAGAGATTAGCAGGATGTTAAAGTCAGAAATTAGCATGTAACTGGGAAATTAGCATGATGTTAACGTGAGGAATTAGCATGTAACTGGTCACGGAAGTAGCTATGTTAAAGTCAGAGTTTACATATCAACAGAGGCATTTAGTATATTGACGCTAAAGAACTGCAACTACCCAACTATCATACAATAAATCGATGCGAAAGAACTAAATATAAACTACATCAATATAATCAATGTACTCAATATATTCTCCAATAAGTTGAGCTATTAACATTAAGTAACTGGAGTCTTGTGGGGCTCTGAGAATCAGAGGGTCACATTCTGTTGGTGGCACAACACATCTCCCGGGTTGCACAACCATCCCAGACAACTACCCAGGCACATCGGACATACCAGACCCTGGCCGTTTTTTTCTTTGCTGCAGGGATATCGTTTCACATTGCGAGCTAACTTGGAATTTACCTCGCTTTTTTCGTATCGGCTAAAATTGGCACAGCGCCCATCGATAGCAGAGTTCGGGGGTGGGCTTGGACACTCCGACACCCCGCGTGGGTGGAGGCAGCTCTGGGTACATTTGGCTCTGCAATTCGACTCTAGAAGCGACGCATTCCTGACGCCAGTCTGCAAATAATAGACACGAATTATAATTTTCAAGACTCATGGATTGGGGGGGGTATCTCAGGCTAAACCAGCAAATCTTTAAAAAAAAACGTATTACAATGCTGTGTGCTCAAATCCCAGTGTGATGCAAGTCAAACAATAACAAGCATAAGATAGATTAACCATATGTTTTCTAAATCACCAAAAAAAAAGCTTCAAAAACAATGTAACAACAGTAATCATAGGAACTGTGATTCTCATTTAACAATAAACGATATAAATATCATGTACGACCAAACTAGCAGCCATAGCTGGCAGCATGACACTCCCAGTGTATGATGTGTGAGTGAGTCAGTGGTAGTGTCAGTGAGTCAGCGTATGATGAGTGAGTGTGTGTATGATGAGTGAATGGGTCAGTGATTGTGTGAGTGAGTATATGATCATATAAGTTGGTTGCATGTCGGCAAATATGCTAAACATTTCGAACAGACACACATTCACATTTTCCTTTCTTATATAACATAGAGTCAGCATGTACTACTGTAGTGAAAGCTGTAATCATAGCAGGATACCACCACAGTCAGCATGCAATGCTGCAGTCATAGCAGGATACCACCACAGTCAGCATGTAATGCTGCAGTCATAGCAGGATACCACCACAGTCAGCATGTAATGCTGTAGTCATAGCAGGATACCACCACAGTCAGCATGCAATGCTGTAGTCATAGCAGGTACCACCACAGCAGTATGCACTGCTGTAATAGCAGGTACCACCACAGCAGTATGCACTGCTGTAGTCATAGCAGGTACCACCATGGTCAGCATGTATTGCTGTAGTCACAGCAGGATACCACCACAGTCAGCATGTATTGCTGTAGTCACAGCAGGATACCACCACAGTCAGCATGTATTGCTGTAGTCATAGCAGGATACCACCACAGTCAGCATGCAATGCTGTAGTCATAGCAGGATACCACCATGGTCAGCATGTAATGCTGTAGTCATTGTAGAATACCACCACAGTTGGCATGCAATGCTGTAGTCATAGCAGGATACCACCACAGTCAGCATGCAATACTGGAGTGAAAGCAGGATACCACCACAGTTGGCATGCAATGCTGTAGTCATAGCAGGATACCACCATGGTAGAGCATGCAATGCTGTAGTCATAGCAGGATACCACCACAGTCAGCATGCAATACTGGAGTGAAAGCAGGATACCACCACAGTCAGCATGTATTGCTGTTGTTAAAGCAGGTATCACCAAAGTATGTACTGCTGTAATCATAGTAGGTACCACCACAGTCATGATGCACTGCTGTCATCGTAGCAGGTACCATTACGGTCAGTATGCACTGCTGTAATCATAGCAGGCACCACCACAGTCAGTATGCACTGCTGTAGTCATAGCAGGTAGCAACATAGTCGGTATGCACTGCGGTGGTGATAGCAGGAACCACCACAGTCGGTATGCACTGCTATAGTGATAACAGGTACAACCACAGTATGTGCTGCTGTAATCATAGCAGGTACCACCACAGTATGCACTGCTGTTATCATAGCAGGTACCACCACAGTCAGTATGCACTGGTCGAGGGAAAGCATGTCCCACCAAAAGTAGGTATGCACTACTGTAGTCATAGCAGGTACGACCACAATATGCACTGCTGTAATCATAGCAGGTACCACCACAGCAGTATGCACTGCTGTAATCATAGCAGGTACCACCACAGTCAGTATGCACTGCTGTAATCATAGCAGGTACCACCACAATATACACTGCTGTAATCATAGCAGGTACCACCACAGTCAGTATGCACTGCTGTAATCATAGCAGGTACCACCACAATATGCACTGCTGTAATCATAGCAGGTACCACCACAGTCAGTATGCACTGCTGTAGTGATAGCAGGTACCACCACAGTCAGTATGCACTGGTCTAGGGAAAGCAGGTCCCACCAAAAGTAGGTATGCACTGCTGTAGTCATAGCAGGTAACCACAGTCAGTATGCACTGCTGTAGTGAAAGCAGGAACCACCACAGTATGCACTGCTGTATTCATAGCAGGTCCCACCACAGCCAGTATGCACTGCTGTAGTCATAGTAGGTACTGCTATTCAGTTGGTAGATCATGCTATATAGAGTTAGTAGATACTAAAACAGTCAGTATATACCACTACGGTCAGTAAATACTGCTACAGTCAGCAAATACGACTACACAGTCAGTAGATACTACTACGGTCCATAGCTACTGCTATAGAGTCAGTAGATACTGATATACAGTCAGTAGATACTGTTATAGAGTTATTAGTTATTACTATAGTCAGTGGATACTACCATAGAGTCAGCAGATACTACTATATAGTTAGTTGTTACTTCTATAGAGTCGGTCGATACTACTGTAGGGCCAGTAGATACGACTACGATCAGTCGTTACTGCTACAGTCAGTAAATACTACTACACAGTCAGTAGCTACTACTGGCTCAGTAGATACTACTGTACAGTCAGTAGCTACAACTACAGAGTCAAGATATACTACTTACTCTGTTGTATGTAGGGTGTGTATGTATAGATACCTACGCGGGGGTACATATATTTTTTGAGGGGGGGGGGGTGTCCACAATTTTCGGAAACCTTTTTTACCCCACACTTTCTATAACTTTTTTGGACTCTTTTGCAAGCCTCTTATAATTTTGTTGGTGGTGAAATGGACAAATGGTCCACCGGGCTTTCACAATACCTTAGTATCTGTGTATGTATATGTAAGGTTTTTAGGAGTAGTTCTAAAATATTTTTTTGACCCGGGCAACGCCGGGTACTTACCGCTAGTACTAAATAAATGTGTTAAAAATAAAAATAATGAAAATAAAATACATTAACACTAATGTAGACTGTAGCCTGGTTTTTAAGCTGGTGAGTGTATTGGAAGTCCGCTTGTGTTGCAATCGAAACGTCGTGGCTTATTTTATTTTAATTACTGAAATAACCAATAATAAGTCTGCATTATAAATTGCCAGTATGCTCACTCAGGTCAAGAAGCAGGCTACAGTCTACATTATAGACTGCCAGTACGCTCACTCAGTTTAATAACCATTGCTACA